TCGAAATATGGCTGTATCGCAGGATACTTAGGGTACCATGGACGGCAAGAATGAAAAACGAAGAGGTTCTCAAGCGTGTTAACGAGAAACGCGAATTGTTTAATACAATAAAAAAGAGGAAAACGACTTATTTAGGACATGTACTGCGAGGTGAAAGATATCAATTTTTACAGCTGATAATTGAGGGAAAGATTGAAGGCAGAAGAGGCATGGGGAGGAAGAAGATGTCTTGGCTGAAGAACATAAGATAGTGGACGGGATTGCGGAACATGCAGTCACTAGTAAACACTGCAAGAAACAGGAAAGCAATGGAAAGTTTGATCGCTAACATCCATTAGTGGATACGCATCAGAAGAAGCAGAAGAATATAATACTCGAGAGTAGTGAACACTATATCGAAATCCCTTGTAATTCTGCTTAGGCTGTTCCTCTCAATGCATTGACAGACACGTGACTGAATCATCTTGTACAAATTCACTTCCAAATTTTCATTAAGTTTTGTTTTTTCGTAGAAAACATACGTTTTAAAAATTTAAAAACGTTATCAAAACATTTTGGAAAATGTTTAGTTGTACTTATGTATAGAAATTCTATAGCAGTTTTTTCATTATAACATTAAATAAAATATCCATTAGGAATTTGCGTTGTTACAACATTACATTACCCGGACTTTTTATTGGACGCGCTTAATTAAATTTTTACTTTCCTACTACGATAACGCTTTTTTTAATATTTTTTACAACAAAAATTAATTTAAATATAAAATTTATTAATATTTTATTTTACTCAATGTGTGTAATATTAAATAGCTTAATTTATTATATTTATTAAAAAAAAAAATAATTTTTAATTTGATAGTCAAGAGACAAAAAAATTTTCTTGACAGAGATATCCGATAAAATGTTATATAAATCGAAGTTTTAATATACAATTATATTTATACTGTATCAAAATTTATATTTTTATTATATTAATTATTTTATATAAAAGATATTTTTAAACAATAACAAAGCGAGAATTTTATGCTAATTAACTATTGTACGCATTTATTATCATTTTAATTGAAGAAATGCGTCACGTTTAATTGGCACAACCTTTTCATTTATTGGGAACATATACGCGGTCACCAAAAATTTATATATATATAGTAGTATGTCATTCCAACTTTGAAATTGACTTCCGATAAGCGGAGAACAAGATTGATGATTGAATGATGCGCGATGGTTGTCGAAATTTCTGGCAACCGTTAGCTATTTCAATCTGCAAAATTCAAGAATCAGTCATATCGTCCAATATCCCAGCCATCAAACGCAAGCGAATGCATTTAAATAAAATACTTTTAAAATGTTTTGCAGTGATAGTAAATAAAAACTTTTATAAATACATTAATTTACAGTAATATTTATTTATTTATTTATGAATGAAACGATGCAATGCATTCTTTTGCTATGAGACTTTTCTAAATCAGTATACCATACTTTAAAATTTCAACTGTTTTTAAATTAGTCTGGTTTTTCATTACAAAGAATAAAGTTGGGTCTTTTATTTTTTTATCTTTAGATCAAATTTATATATATAGGCCTATATATATATATATATATACCTATTTATAAAAGGGCTTCATTGCTTTTAGTAATTAATTATTAGAAAATGAACCGCTCATGAACTTTTTAATATTAAAAAAAAAATAATTTAAAAAAATTTTCCATTACTTATATTTATTTTCCATATAAATGTTATTGAAGTCCTTTTTTTTTGTTTCATAATTATTATCAGCCTTATTGCATTCCTATCTTTTCTTTTTCCGACAGAATATTTTAGGTTTTATTGTTCTTCCATCTATTCCCGGTGCTCCAGTCAAATATTTAAAAGTTTCCTCTTTTTCACCGAGTTGCTGTAAATGCATCACATCTATTTTTCAGCAGACAGTCTTCGTAGAAAACTTGCCTCTAGTATTTCCTTTTTGCTCTTTACTTTAATTGCAGTACATTATTATCTTGCAAAACAATTCTGATATATATTTTCTGATCTACATGATTAACGAATTTCGTACAAGAGTGATAGACATACGGAAAGAATATTCAACGCGATAGTAATAATCTGTAAAAATTCCATTTCTACCACGCAATCTTCCATCGATCACGATGGTGCCTACAATTCGTTACGAATGGCAGAGATATAATATCTGCGGATCTCTTTCTTTATTAACATTTAAATTCAAGCAGAGAATCTTCTCTGGTAGAGCGGAACTATCCGCACCTCGACAGGACATGAATTTCATATATTACGATAACATTGCAAAATCGTAGGGTAAACGAATTTTGTTCTAGTACAGTTTTCACATTAAATGAAAATTGTATCCTTACTTGAATTTTCCTGAACGTTACTTCCCTTCATTCATATCGATTTTCTCGTATCGTAATGGCATCATGTTAAAATTTGCACCGCAGTAAAACCGCAATAATAAATCGATATCAAAACGTGCACTTAATCGAAATTTACTTAAATATAACAGGGAAAACTCGGCACAAAATAAATAGACTTTTTTTTATGTCACAGTAAAAGTTTTATCGTGTAATTCTTTTACGATATCTAACAATTGCCCGTCGGTTATTTTTTTCTCCCTACTCTTTATTCTGTTATTTTTAATAAAAGTTCTGGGAAAAAGTACAAGTCATTATGATTTTTTTTTACAACAATAGATGGTAATAAAGCTTTTGCTAATAAGAAGAAAATAAAACTGAAAATTTTCTGCGCTCGGTAATATGCTATGTCATGTAATTTTAGTTATATCATAATTCAGGAATACTTTATATTCGAATAACGTTTAATTTATTACCAGACAAAAGGAGTTCTGCATTATAAACTTTTTCTAAACGTTTCAGATTTTTATTTTTCTTCATACAACAGGATCCAATATTAAATATCAGCCATTCATGAATTCGTGTTCGTATTGCGCGAGGAATAGCTTCAGCATTCTTATCGTACTTCTTTATCGATTTTTGCGCGATACTATTCATTGACGAAACGTGGCAACGTAACCGGGATTCGATTAATCGTTCTATCGTTTCACGAGTCGTCAGTTTATCGTCGCCTCGAGCAGAGCTTAGGAGATTTCACGGTTATTCCTTTCACTTGACTTACCAGCAATAGCTTCCGGTTTCATCTCAAGTACACTGACTTCAAGTGCTTCGCTGTATAAAGTACACATATACGAAGCCCGTAGTTAAGAACGTGAGAGTAATCGAAAAGTTCAAGTTGAGTGGATACTATAACGCATTATCGAAGTGCATCGATTGAAAATCTCAGAACATTTTCTATATTTATCAATATTATTTTATTAACTCTGTAGCTAATTCGATCATGTGAATGAATTGACCTCTTGTAACGTAATTTTTTTGTAACGTATACGATTTTGTTATTACTACCAGACTTGATTTGCTGACTTGATTATTAAATATCTTAAATATATAAATATATAATACACACGAGAGGTGTTTACAGATTTCATATTTAATTTTCTCGTTTAATAATGCGCAGTTTATTTATTATAGATACTATTGAGAAATTTCTATTAATTGGAGAACATATAATGCCGAAATCTGTTAGACTTGATCTTCTAAATTATTCGGGGAGTTAAATTATTCATAATACTGGTTCAATAAATGTCTAACTAAAAATACGCCATTATAATTTTATAATAAGCTCTTATTTTAATTTAGGCGCAAGTTAGTCTGAATCCATGAATCACGAATCACTAATTAGCATACGGTAAAATGAACGGTGATAATTTTCTAATAATACTTGGTATCTGGAAATTAATCGTCGAAGTCAATATATACTTCTCAATTTGAATTGTATTTTAATTATCTGGAGACACTGGTAGTGTTTCGGCGCTAAGCATGGCGCGAACCGGCGAGTCTAATAAACACGGTTGAAATGAATTTTTTAATATAATCTACATTTCTCATTTACTGCCATTTGTATGCATAATGGATGCATTCTATACAAGTGTATGTAATGAACAAGCAAAGATATTATATTCTTCTAAATAGGTAAAAAACGTTTTTGGAAATTTTTTCTGAGTGAAGCATATAGCAAACATAATACCTTCGGCCGTTCTGGATTTTGATAGTTTAGTGATAAAGTTGAAGTGCTTTGTAAATTGACGATCCGTTTCTAGTACATTCAATTTCTTCAAAAGTATTTGTGCAACGAATAAAATAGAAATCTGTATATGTATGTTTAATATTTATGCATTTCGATAAAATTCAAAATAGCTGCTATATTATAAATGTATTAGATGCATTTGTTTAAGTGTAACTTTGATACGTTTTTTTAAACAAAATCGATTTTAATAAATTTACTAATAATCATTTTATTAATTATTGAGTTTTTAAGAGATCCTCGTTCTCTACCAGAGATATCTGATATCATATACGTTTGCAATTCTTCAAAAATTAGATTACTCCGGCGTGTTACGTTTTCTGTTTGAAGTATCGCAACGATTAGTGAATTTCCAATACAAAGTTTGCTTTATTACTTCAGGTCCGTTATATCTGTGCGGCGGCAATAGCCGGTTCCATTCACGGACACTTCATTTTGCTGCAGAACAAACAAGCTTTTAATCACAGTTTCAGTTTGCCGCTATTGTCTTTACAGTGCAACGCCCCGCGTTTACTCGATTCGCGCTACCACGGTAAAATCAATATCCACGTACCGCGTTTAATATTTTTCCACGGTTACGCGTTCGTAACTGCCTTCTGAGGATGGCGTCGGGATTACGCAATACACGTACTCCATTGTACTCGGCGGAAGCGCATAAAGCTGGCGACATAACGGGGTCTCCTCATTGCCGCTTGAATATTGGATAAGTTCGGCGGCGAGCACGGGGAAACGGAGCGATTACGCGCGCCCGCTTCCCCGTACCGCCGCTGCTCTGTGCTCGAGTTTCGTCGACAATGGCTATAAGAGAGACCCGCGAAATTATTATGTTTCAGTTCTGCCCCGTGAAGAGCCCGTTATCGTATCGGAACGCGATCGCTACGACCCAGGAGACATGTTGAGGGCAAATTGCAGCCTGCCGCCTTCGAAGCCACCGGTTCACATCTCATTCACGCTGAACAGTATGCCGGTAAGTGATGCCTATCGTCCACGATTGTCGTATTATTGAATCAAGGAGCGAGATAATGTGTCAGCGATGGGTTTTCGATGTTATACTTGCGGCTGTATGTATAACAGTATAGAATCCTGACCTTTTCAAAGGAAAGGTATACTGAAGTAAATAATGAGCGAAATTTTATCCTTAGTACACCACGATCATTCATGTCCTGCGCATTTCCTTTCTTTGAAATACTAGGAGTACCTGGTCAAATGATGGTCTTTATTCTTTTCTTATTTAAAGATATATAACTTTACAAAATATATTCTAAAAATATTAAAGTATATATATATATATATAAAAGAATTTTTTAACAATTTTTTTGTATACTTGTAAAAATGATGAAAATGAACTTGGAACACGAACGATTCATCGGATATAGTAAAGGACCTGAAAATCATATGTATTAAGGGTAAAAGCGCATAAATATCTTAAGAGAACAGTTAAATTATTGATTTATTATCGAACGAATTATCCTGTGTAACAATTAATTTCAGGAAATATAATATGATTTTTTATCTGATTTAACGATCAGTTTTAATACTTCAATATACCTATTACGTAGGCACATTACATCTTATTCATTGGATATAAAATTAGCCAAGTGTGAAAAAATGCAAACCATTGAAATGTATACATTATAAAAATATTTCAAGTCGCGGTGATTCTTCCTTCTTTTTTTCAAACGGTCCATTTAACAGCTGCACTCTTTTTTACTTCATACCACTCAATCGGAATCCGCTTTTCTCACATCTTCTCGCTTGAAATGGGTCCTTTTATAAAAATTGTTAAATCGAAGACTATTTGCTCTTACCACCCCATGAAACTCGTAAGCCTCATTGAAAGTGCACAGGATTTCGATATCGATTTTCAATTTACGGAATGTATGTGTCTACATAGCGGCTATTATCATCGTCGCCAATGTTTATTGTAGTAGGAAACTCCTCTAACCATTCGGAAAGGAGATCATTTCCGCACGTTACTATTTTCCCTTTATCGCCGAAATCACGCGCCTGAAATGGGTTCCATTTATTACCGGCTTTTAACTGATGTGCACGGAATTTGCATAGCCCTACTGCTAAGGCACATTTTAGAGCTCAATTTAGTTGGAAATAATTTTGGGGCAAGAACGTTGAGGAATTCTGACGAGCTCTACGAAGAGGCACATTGACAGACATTAAAGAGGTTAAGCAAACCCTTTGTTCCGCGAATATTCACAGTAATATGCGTATCGTCTATTTTGGCAATTCAATTCTTATACCGAGATTGAAGTCCTGTACGGAATTAGAGCATGAATGATTAAACCTTACCCCTTCCTCTCTCCCGGACGCTCGTGCGACGTCGTCTTCGAGGGTAAAAGGTTTTATCAAACGCGTCTGCGGGATAAGAGAATTTGAATAATCGGATAATCCGTGCAAAAGCCGCCAGGAGCACCGAACGAAATACTAATAACTACGATACGAGTAAAAATGTTGTCGAGTAACTTTTGCCGAGCGAAATGCCGCGGCACGGGAACAGCCTCCGGCGATGCATTACCCATAATCTCCGGGGATGACGTCGCGAGGATCTCATTAGCCGATACAGCTAAATGTAAAATGAAAGCGCAGTCCAGGCTTGATCGCCTGCAGAAATCCAAAATTTACCATCGACTTTGATCGAGCAGAATTTCACCTCTGAACATAATGTATCTTGTTTTGCTATGTTTTCCCGTTTTTAAACGGTGGAAATATTTCTGCCAGCGCATTTCAGCCTTGACTGTTGGCATTGTGAATGTTACTTAAATAAGAAATAAAATAAAATTTTCGATTTCGACGAAATAATGTGAAAATTGGTTATCGAATATTTTACGATTTTAATTAGAATTACATGAATCAAGTTTCTGTGGAAAATTAGCAAATAAATATTTAATAATTTGAAATTTCTCTAAGGAGAGATTATTAAGTTTTTATCTTTCTCCACTTAAAATAACGCTATTTATGTGTCATCTTTTACTAGGTATAAATTTGTTCAGTCAACGTATATTTGTATCCAATCGAGATAATCGAAATGATAGCGAATCGTAAATTTCTTCGTAAAGTTGTAATGATATTATCTCTTGGATGTGCGGTGTGATCGTAAAAAGCCAGGAAAATACGAATCCGGAAAAATCAACCGCAGGTTTCATGGGACCTGGGAAATTAGTATCGCGTACATATATATAAGTGTGAGTAACGAAGGAGCAATGCCGACGAGAGCGGCGAGGGGTTGTAACGAATTGCCCAGGTCAGGAACAACCGGGTCGGTCTGCTAGGTTCTTACGGCTAACGTCTTGTCGAGAAACTCGTCGAATTTGCAGGGAACGTTTCTGAGAGCGTAGAAGATATCTTGTCGCGGAAACAACGGTTTCTTATGGCCGGGGCGTTGCCAGTACAAGTTTACTCGCGCCGGAAAAAGTAGTTTGTTCGGAGGAAAAACTTTTAGGTAGTTGATCTCTTGCTGAGAATCCTCTCTGATTTATCCTCCGATTTATTCGTCGAAAAACTTTTTAATTGTTATTTCAATAATTATTGTCGTATAACTTCAATATTTACTAATAAATAATACATATTTTATTACTAAATAGGTAATTACGTAAATATGTAACATCACGTCTATCGATTATAGTACATGGCAAATTTTATCTTTGCACTTTAATGTTGCTGCTAATCTTCTTAATGAAAAAGGATACGCGAATTCCAGTTTTGCAGTGTTGTGTTTCAGTTTTCATTTTAGTAATATAGTTTTAAGAAACTAATTATGAATAATTACGCGAAAAGAATGATTTTGCTCAAGTATCTAAAAATTTAGTTAGATACAGATCTGAAAATAATTTTGTCGGACCATTAAAATAATTATGTACAAATCAAGCATGATGAACAATGCTGCAAAAAGTTTTGACATTTTAGTAACTAATTTGAGTAATTAATAATTATTTTGATGGTGCAACAAAATTATTCCTCAAATCTGTATCTAATTAAATATTTATTAATTATTTGTATCTAATTAAATACGTTAGCCGCTCTTTCTATTATATATGTATATTATATAATGAGTACTTATCGAATTTTAATATTACTCATAAATGACTGTACGATCATAGAATAAAGATATATTACAATATATAAGAGTAAATAATGCGTTGTAAAATGTTTGCTAATATGCAAAGTTATAATTATTTTTATGATAATGTTATATGTATATAAATTAAACATACATTAAAATGTGTTTATTAATTATCAGGATACATAATTCTTGCATATATATTTATAGTACATAAAATGTGTATTTGCAATATCAGTACGAGCAATATGGACATCAAGGTCATATTATCAGTAAAAAATATCTTGACTGCGAATGTAATAAAATGATAGTAAGACTCTTTTTTCTGATAAATGCATTCTAAATGTCAGCTGAATTTAAATGGAAAAGCGGCTGTAATTGATATGCTGTTATATTTATCAATTTCCTGTTTTACACGATGTGACGCACATATATAATACCTATATACCAGAATATCTTCGATAATACGAAAATTGATCAATTACGTTTTTAATGACATGATATCGCAAAAGAGACAAACGATTTAACTCCGATTTGTAATTGCGAATATTATCATTAAATGAAACACCGTAACACATTTGTATATCGCGTACAATAAATCTCCTTTAATTGTACTAATACTAAGCATATCGAAAACGCTTAGAAACTTTTAATTGTAACCGTTCACGCAACGTACTCATATTTTATAGTAACTTTATCCCAGAGACGTTTACATGGCGTATATTCGCGGCCTGATATTTCTGAGGTTAATCTACGCACCGGCACTATCACAGGCACGAATAAATTTTCCGCAACTGACGCGCGCTCTTACGCAGATATCAATATGCAGTCGTTATCCTTTAATACCCCATAGCCCGACATCGTAAGCGCCGCTAGATCACGTGCGATCTCGCTTATCCTATTGTACATTCGCGATGTGCACGTATAAGCAACGAGAATGCAATGTTCAGGTATTCTCGTCCGGTCTATAAACTAATATAACTTCGAAGAGAGAAGAGGTACAAAGAGTGTAAAAGAAGTACGAAGTATTCTTCTTGGCTACGTTCCACTTGACGTTCGCAACGTTCTTGAATTCATTTCATTCTTGTTTGGCAAATGTTTAACAAATGTGCTTGCGAGCGTTCTGAACGTCAAGTGAAACGAACTTATCTAACTTACGTTCACATTAACGACACTTTCACTATGTTACACACAATATGATATATATTTTATATAGTCCTATCACACAGGTCAAATAATTTTGAAATATTATTTGATAAAGGCAAATCAACTTGCTTGTGACTACATTGAAAGAAAAGATTGGCTGCTGCAGCAAATTAGATGGTAAAATATATGGCATAACAATTTTAATTGATTGCAACAGCCAATTTTTGGATGTTGCAGCCAATTGTTGATTGTATTAGCCTATCCGCAATGTCAGTATAAGATTTCAATTGGCTAACGCAACCAAAAATTGGTTGCTGCAGCCAATTAAAAATGCTATGCCATATTTAACCATCTAATTTGTTGCAGCAACTAATCTTTTCTTTCAGTGTGGCACATTAATTTTTCATATTTTTGATGAGCTTATAAGATCAGATTAGTTGATCTTCTTCTTCAAGTTTTTATCCTGGATTATTTTGTCCAGATATTTTTACGATTTATAGTAACGAATGAATTCTCGTTCCATGCTTTATTTTCACCACATCCTTCTCTTCTTCACTCTTCGTATCATCCATGCGAGATTTACACGACCGTGAAGACACAACCTATCGGAATACCATGTATTTCTCGATAATATGGGCAGGATTTGTTATTTGAGTGAGATTTATTGTGGTTTTATACGTCGCTCGACATGTATAACCGCGCTGCCAAGCCTGGCAAATTACGACCTCTCTGAAATATCTGTTTGATGC